ATCCTTTCAATTTAGCGTTCTCGTAAGTTCGAGAACCTTGTCGTCTGATCGAGGTATGAATGCTCTATGCACCGAACGTTCTACGCCGAATATTCAAGAAACCTATGCGGGTACATAAGGGACTCTGCATGACGAGCCGGAGCCAGTCTTGCCCCAGCGTTCGACCCTGCTGTTTTGCCGCCGTCGACGCTAGCCTTTTTCTAATTTGCTTTGGGCACAAGTTGACCCAATTAAACATTTAGATTCTTCAGTTAATTCACTGCCTCATCATTTCTCATTCGTGACATTTTGGTGGAGGTGCAGGGATAGCATTACAGGCCCGTAAAGCGTATCCTTCCGAAGACAGCCCGGCCAAGTGAGGTGCTCAGACCCGGAAGGCTACCCTTCGCCGAAGACTCAGAAGCCCCAACAAACAAACGTTCCAAAGAGCCCCCGAAATTCGGAATCCTGCCGCAAAGGCTAAAGAAGAAGACCGCGACGATGACCACTCCACCCGTTGTTGTCCTATGCATTGCTGCCCATACTCCCACATCCCTGCATAGTGAGCCCCATGAAGATGTCGAGGACTGGCTACAGAAGTATGAACGAGTGACCCAGCACAACCGATGGACGGACGAACAGCGCCTGCAGAGTTTTTACTTCGCGCTCCAGGAACGGCCAGGAACTGGTTCGAGAATCGCAAAACTTCCCTGACCTTGTTGACTGCCTGCAGGGATGCGCTGAGACGGACATTCACCAACCAATATCGACGGGAAAGGGCCGAGGACCTTCTTTGAATGAGGACCCAGGGCGCAAACGAGACTCTTACCAGTTTTGTCGAGAATGTTCTGTGCCTGATTGCTCGTGTCGACCCTCAAGCCGCCGATGAAAAGAAGCTGCAGATCCTGATGCGAGGTGTAAAGGATGACATCTTCGGTGGTCTTGTTCGCAACCCCCCATCCACTGTCAAAGATTTCGTCACGAAAGCCACGAACATGGAACGTGTCCTCTTTGCAAGAGCCAGCCACTGCCATTGGCACTCGAGCATCGCTGCTTCTTCCGCATTGGGCTACGACATCAGTCCTAGCATCCCCAGCATTCGCGACATCATCCGTGAAGTCGTCCGGAAGGGTTTTCCAAGATGCTCCCCGCCGCGGATAAGCCCGTCCTCACTATTGCTCACCAAGGTTGTCCGAGAGGAGGTTCACTGAGCCGTCCAGCTTACCGAGCCGTCCAGCCTGAAGTTCCCATCAACACGACAACGCCAGAGGAACTGACGTTGAGCTACGCTGCCATGGCCGGACTATCGCAGCAAGCTAGCCACCAGGCCACGGCTACACCCCGATGAGACCCTCCGATGCCGCAGTATCCTCGACGCCAGGAAGGACGAGTCCAGAACGTCCACCCGGAGCCGAGGAAGACCGACGTATGGAGACAGCCGATCGACGTCCGTTGTGCTACCACTGCGGGGAAGCCGACTATATCTACCGCTGTTGCCCCTACCAGCAAAAAGGGCTGCATGGCTTCCACCCAAGCAACCCATGCCCATGCTACGGTGAGCCACTACAGGAGATTGAAGGGCACCTTCGACAACTTCAGTTTCCTCCGCCTGCACCTTGCCGCTGGTCTCAGTCACCGTCACCACAACATCCAGCTTCGCCGATGCACTGACCCCGTTGTGAGAGCTTGTTGCTCTTGTTTCGCCGGGAAAACTAAGCGCGGCAACTCATGGAGGTAAAGGTGCCGTAGACAAACGACGTAAAGAGCCTCCACAAACGCCTGAGCGCTCCCACTCTCTCGACGCCACGCATCACGACACTCTGGCAACGGTATCCAACAACTAAACATTGTTATCGACGGCCACAATGCATCGGCAGTCGTGGACACTGCAGCAGGCAACACAGTCTTGAGTGGGAAGCGCTCTCGCAGTCTTCAAAAAGTGACAACACCTTGGGATGGGCCACAGATACGAACCGCCGGAGGACACCTCATCACGCCTGTCAAAAGGTGCACTCCTCGCGTCAAAATTCACGTCGAGACCTGTCCTGTGAAATTCGTCATTCTACAAGACTGTGCCAGAGATGTAATTCTCGGCATGAACTTTCTGTGTGAATACGGCGCCGTCATCGACCTTGGAGCAAACCAGTCGACGCTGCGGACACCTGTCCCACCTTCAAAGAAACCCCAAACAGCGTCAGCGAGTCGCTGCTTCCCACGTGAACCTGCTGCCGCAATCCAGTGTTGTCGTAACCGTCATGACCGATGCAGCTACCAGTGGTGAAGTTGTGTTGGAAGGAAATCTTCAATTACTCCTGAGAAGAGGAATAGGTGTCACAATAGGAGTAGCTGAACTTCAGGATGGGCGCACTGTGGTCCTCGTGACAAACTTCAGAGAAGAAACACAACACCTTACTGAAGGTGCAGCTGCGGGCCACATCGAGGAATTCCGAAAGTCTGCCAAAATCGCCACGATTATTGAAGAATCCTCGCTGCCTCAGCAAGACGTTACGTCGCCAGCGCAGCTCGACATTGACCCTCAGCGTCCAGGCCCAAAACAACGGCAGCTGAGTGACTTCCTCGTCGAATACAGCGACTGCTTTGTGATGTCGTCGAAGGTGTGCCAAAGTACTGTTGCGAAGCATCGCATCGTTGCCGAGGACGACGTGCTTTCTGTGCATCGATAGCCATACCGAGTCTCCGTAAAAGAAAGGGAGGTCATCCAGGAGCAAGTGCAAGAAATGCTGAACGACGACATCATCCAGCCTTTAAGCAGTCCGTGGGCCTCTCCAGTCGTATTGGTTAAGAAGAGGGACGGAACGCTTAGGTTCAGCGTGGACTACCCGCAGCTGAACGGGGTGACGAAGAAAGACCTCCACCCATTCCCCCGCATAAACGACACGCTAGACCGGTTGCGCCACTCTCAATATTTTTCATCAATGGACCTGAAAAGTGGCTACTGGCAGATTGAAGTCGACGAACGGGACCGAGGAAAGACAGCCTTCGTCACGCCGGATGGACTGTACGAGTTGAAGGTGATGCCCTTTGGACTATGCATGGCACCAGCAACTTTCCAGCGTGTCGTGGACACCGTACTGACTGGACTGAAATGGCAAAGCTATCTCGCCAACCTTGACAATGTCGTAGTGTTTTCAAGCGACTTCGACGAGCACTTGCGCCAACTCCGAGCTGTTCTCCAAGTTAAACAGATCGCCGGCCTCATCCTCAAGCCATCCAAATGTCGGTTCGCCTATGACGAACTGAAGTTCCTAGGCTAACCCATTATCTAATGTCCATTGAGCTCCACAAACACAGTGAAATGGTAGCTCCATAACTCTCGCACCCTTTTATTTAAAATTCTGTTGAAATTAAAAAAATTTGGCCTGTAAATTGCTGAATATTTCCCAGTCGGTGCCAGATCTCCGCAACCTGATGATGCGCCCACCTGAACAGTACTGCTACCTCGCTAGCAGACAACGCAGAAATGTAGAGTGGTGCAATGAGCAAAGGGGCCGATTTGTCTCAGTTTCATCCAACGAGGTAGAAAAACTTAAAGGGATAAACTGATATCCCGTTTATCAGGCAAAAAAGCGTCCCACCCCAGCAACCACCATGTTGCACATTTTCTTGACTACTTGTCATGTGACCTGACAAAATATGTGATGATGGCCACACAAATATTTTGGCACCCAGTAAGTTTGCTTTTGATATACTGGGCCCCGCCATCTTTTCGCTGTTATTGTCACAAAATTGGTTGTATGGTCACGTGATGAGTAGACAAATGTATATGGCAGTGGCCAGGAGGGGTCGCATTCAGCTGCGAGTTTAACACTTTAAGTCCCCCCTTCCCCCCATACCTCGTCGGCATCGGCGTGCATCAAAGTTAGCAAAACAATACGACACACGCGACTCCGATATTATGGCACAGTATACATCCTGGCGTTCCAGATCATATTGGTCATGATAGCACATATAATAGTGCAGGATCCAAAAAACAGCCTTTTCGTTCAGCATTTCATCTAAGGGTCTGGTCATGTTTGAATCTAGCTTGCTAGATTCATCTCTACTACCACAGGAAATAGCTGTTAAGAACAGGTAGATAACATGAATGCCGTGGAATGACGAAAAGCTTTGAGATTCATCCACCTGAACAATCTACAAAGCTTTCACCTCATTACAAAAAATAAATGCAATCTTACTAATGCATCTGGCCATCAGGGTGCCAGTGTTTCAGAATACTTTCCTGCCCAATGGCTGCGGGCTTTGTCCCTTTCTGCCTGCCGCCTTGTGACCATGTAACAACGAACAGCATTGTATGACACGATTATGTTGGTTACTCCATAATAAACCAATCCGTACGTTTCCAGCATTTCAGACAAGTTTGAGTTTGGGCATCAACATGTTGTTTACCTGAATCACCAGATAGATTAACTTCGTCAGTCAGAACAAAAACGGGAAGCCATCATTCAAACACCACGGAATTTACACAAGCTACGTTCCTTCCCCGTGTTCACTAGCTACAACTGAAGCTTCCTGCCTCAAATGTCCCAGCTGCTGGCTCCACCTTAAAACCTGCTCTGGCAAAATGTGAAATGGAGCTGGGGTTCAGAGGGGGATGAAGCCTTTAACAAGGCAGACCAACACTGCTGCGGTCAAGTCGTCAGGTGCACTACAACCCCACTCAGGAACTGATCCTGGGATGAACACATCTCCAGATGGAGGTGGAGCCGCGCTGTCATATATTGATGTATACGCCCTCACTAGATGGCAGGACCGACCCGCTCTGCAACGACGAAGCCGACTCGGGAACCGCACCCAGGAAGGCTGCTGCCATTCCGGCCGCGTGTGTTAATAAAGTGTTATTGTTATACGGAACCCGAAGTATCCGAAGTACATAACAACTGGCGACGAGAAACGTATCGACGACAAGCCGGAGAAGCCGCCAAGCAGCAGCACCACGGGATGACCCGGTAGGAATTCTACACTGCGTGAACTACACTGCGTGAACTTCCGAAACTATAGAAATGACGACTTTTGGCAAGCTAGAAAAATACGACAATAAGGAGCCCTGGTTATCCTACACGGAAAGAGTTGACGCGTTCTTCAATGCAAACGGCATCGAAGACGACGAGAAGAAGAAATGGATCTTCTTATCAACCGTCGGGACCAGCACTTACGCGACAGTCCGGAGTCTGCTAGCTCCTGCGAAGCCAAAAGAAAAGAAGTACAAGGACCTCATGACTACCTTGAACAGTCACTTCAGCCCTCCACCGTCCGAAATCGCCGAGAGTTTTCGCTTCAACACACGAGTACAGCTCGAGAACGAAAGCGTCGCTACGTTCGTCGCCGAACTTCGGCAGATGGCAGAACACTGCAACTTCGGAGCAGCTCTCAACCGCATGCTGAGGGACCGCCTCGTGTGTGGGATACGGGACAAAACTGTGCAGCAAAGACTGTTGGCAGAGAAAAACCTAACCCTGGAGAAGGCTGTCGAAATCTCGAGGTCGGCGGAAGCAGCGGAACGCAACGCGACCGAGATACAAAGAGGCCACGTGGACGCGACCACTTCGGGAAACCAAGAAGGTACCACTAATCATCTCAAGTTCCCCAGAAAGAAAAATGGTCAACAGGGACCTAAAGGTCAAAAATGGAAGGATCCAAAGGCCACAGCAAAAAAGAAGCCAGGACCACAAGATAAAGCAAGTGCCTGCATTCATTGTGGTTCCCGGGATCACAAGCCCCCGGAGTGTCCCCACATCAACACAAAGTGCTACAACTGCGAAAAAGTTGGACAACTGGCAAGTTGCTGTTTGTCAAAGACTGATAAACCAAAGAAGCAGTCCACAAAACAAGTGAACGTGCTGGAATCAGTTGGTGGACCGTCCGAGTACTACTTGCATGCATTGCAAGCAAACTCAACTGTGAAACCAATCACGGTAACATTCATGGTAAATGGACTTCCAATTGAGATGGAGCTAGATTCAGGATCCCCCGTCTCGCTGATCTCCGAGGATACATACCTGAGCCATCAGAGAAGTTTGCCTAGACCAGCTGAAACAGACATCAAGCTCAAATGCATCCGTGGACCCATTCCTCTACAAGGAACTTTGACTGTAAACGTAAGTCTCGGCGAGACCAAAAGTCAACAGACACTTCTGGTTGTTTCTTGCAAGAGCCCTAACCTTTGTGGCAGGGACTGGATGGCAGCATTTGACCTGCTTCCACGGCAAGTAAACTCCACTCAACTGGGAGAAACTGCAACCGACCGAGGGGTACTGGAAACACTCCAGGAATTTGAAGAGGTCTTCAAACCAGGTTGCGGTGCATTCAAAGGACCACCGGTGCATGTGGACGTTCTACCCGACGCCCAACCACGGTACTACAGAGCCCGCTCAGTACCATATGCACTGAGGGACAAGGTGGAACTGGAACTCCAACGACTTGAAAAAGAAGGCATCATCACGGCCATAGACCACTCTGATTGGGCATCCCCCATCGTACCAGTGCTAAAAGCCGATGGCAAAAGTGTCAGGATTTGCGGGGACTACAAGTTGGGTGTGAATCCTGCAGTGATGACAACCCAGTACCCACTGCCCAAAGTGGAAGACATCTTTGCTTCTCTGCAAGGAGGAGTCAAGTTTTTGAAACTAGACTTCCGTGAAGCATACAACCAAGTACTCATTGATAAAGAAACCAGCAAGCTCCTGTTCATCAACATACACCGAGGATTGTTTGCTTACAACTGTTTAGCTTTTGGCGTGTCCTCGGCTCCGGCACTGTTCCAAAGAAGAATGGAAGAGACCCTGCAGGGAATTCCAGGAACATCTGTTTACCTGGATGATGTTCTGGTGACTGGAAAGACCGACGCAGAACATCTAGAGAACCTAAGGAAAGTTCTCCAAAAAGTCAAAGACTCTGGACTGAAGCTCAAGCGAGAGAAATGCGAGTTCTTCAAAGAATCACTCTGCTATCTGGGCCACGAGATCAATGCAGAGGGGCTGAAGCCTTCAAAGAAAAACGCAGAAGCTATCCTTGAAGCACCTGAACCCAGGGATGTCAGTGAACTGAGATCCTATATTGGACTTCTTTCGTACTACGGCAAGTTTATTCCGAATCTGTCCACTGTGCTTGCACCCTTGTATGCCCTACTGCACAAGAACACCCGCTGGCAATGGACAGACACTGAACGAAAAGCCTTTGTCGAAAGCAAGAATGCCATCATGGAGGCAAGGGTTCTGACCCACTACGACCCATCGAAAGAGCTTGTTCTTTCATGCGACGCCTCACCGTATGGTGTGGGTGCTGTGTTCTCGCATCGGAAGGATGGCGTGGAGTCGCCCCTTGCATTCGCATCCCGGACTCTGACACCGGCCGAGAGGAATTACTCACAGTTGGAAAAGGAAGCACTGGCCATTATTTTTGGTTTCACACGGTTCAGAGACTACCTGCTGTGTCGAAGTTTTGTGCTCATCACTGACCACAAGCCACTTGTGGGGATTTTTCGGGAAGACAAGGCAATTCCAGCCATGACAGCTTCGCGCATCCAACGCTGGGCTCTTACTCTTGGAGCCTACAGGTACAGCATCCAGCACCGACCAGGACGTCTCAACAGAAACGCCGATGCCATGAGCAGGCTGCCCTTGAAGACGGCACACACCAATCCTCCGGAACCTCCGGAACTGGTCAACTCAATCTCGAGCTTGGAGAAGCTGGAGATTTCAGTCAAGCAACTGCAACAATTCACAAGCAGCGACAAGGACTTAAGCCAAGTGCTACAGTGGGTGGAGGAAGGATGGCCACAAAAGCCTCCGGACAAGTCATTACAACCATTTTGGAACAGACGCGATGAGCTAAGCGTGCATCGGAATCTCCCGTACTGGGGAAACCGAGTGGTTGTGCCAACCCCTGCTCGCCAACACATCTTAGACCTGCTGCATGAAACTCACCAGGGGATGGTGGTCATGAAAGGCATGGCGAGATCTCTTGTGTGGTGGCCGAACATGGACGCAGAAGTAGAGCGCTGTTCACGACAATGTTCACAGTGCCTCCAGAACTCCCCAATGCCACCAAAAGCAGAACCGGTACCCTGGCCCGAACCAAAGGAATGCTGGGAGCGTCTGCATCTAGACTATGCAGGACCATTCGAGGGGAAGATGCTACTGGTGTTGGTAGATGCGAAGTCAAAATGGCTTGAAGTCATCATTGTGTCAAGTGCCACATCCGAGCAAACCGTAGAACACCTACGTGACATTTTTGCAAGGTTCGGACTACCAAGGTGCATTGTAACAGACAATGGAACTCCATTCACTGGTCAGCCCTTCCAAGACTTCGTTCAAGGAAATGGGATCAAGCATCTCCGAACTGCCCCTTTTCATCCAGCATCTAATGGCTTAGCAGAACGAGCTGTTTGCACGGTCAAGGATGGACTCAAGAAAACGGAGGGAAGAGACCTCAAGCTCCGACTTGCTCAATGGTTGCTCATGTATCGCCGAGCACCCCGTCCGAGCGGAACGTCTCCAGCAAAACAGATGCTGGCTTATCCAATGAAAGCAAGACTGGACATCTGTATTCCCAGGAGGGGTGAAGAGGCAATTCTGGAGCAGTTGCCGATAGAATCTAGGCAACGGGCCGAGCAAGAAGAAAAAGGGGCTACGCCACAAGAGAGGGAACAAGGTAGCAGTTCGCAATTTCGGTAAAGGACCTCGATGGTGGTTGGGTGATGTTGAAAACACCAGTGGAACATCTATTGTTACTGTGTCAACTCCGCAAGGGCAAAAGCGCCGCCACAACGACCAAGTAAAGCCGCACTTGACCACTTTGGCATCAGGTCCTGGGGAACAACTACCACCTAACAAGGACCAAGGCTACGCAACGAGCGAAGCAAGGACGCCCGGTATGAGATGACCGACACAAACTGTCCGCAAGCCCCTGAGATTTACATAACCTTCGATAAGAAGGCAGTCTTCATTAAGAAGGGAGGAGTGATGTATACGCCCTCACTAGATGGCGGGACCGACCCGCTCTGCAACGACGGAGCCGACTCAAGAATTGCACCCAGGAAGGCTGCTGCCATTCCGGCCGCTTGTGTTAATAAAGTGTTATTGTTATACGGAACCCGAAGTACATAACATATATACCATCAATGTAGCCAACAAGCACGTGATTCAAGTCCACAACATTCATCAGTGCAGAGAAAACAAATCCCTACTTGAGAAAGAGGTCCAAGTATTAATTTTCAGAGGAACCAAGACTCATGACTGCCTACTAGGCAGAACTTTTATGCTCAAAACTGATCATGAGCCCTTGATGGGAGTTTTCGAAAAGTGCATGCAGACCAAATCCAACCACTGCAGCTGCCAAAATACAGTGCTGTGCACTCGTGGTTGTGAAGTACTGCTAAACATTTAGTATAAGCCTGGACAAGCAAACAAATATGCAGATCCGCTCATTCAGCTGCAACAGGAGAAAACAGCAGATTGCATGGAGTGCAGACCTCGGACATTTTAATCCAGTTTCCCAAAAGCAGCTGGAAGATCTAACTACAAAAAAATCCTGCTCTAGTAGCACTTCGAGAGACAATCAAGGAAGGTTGGCCAAGAAAGCTTCAAACATTCAGTCCTGCAACCCTTCTGCCAACAGAGGGACATATTTACCTCAGATGGTCTTCACATTCGTACTGAGGAGAGTGATCATGGCCGAGAAAGTGTGAGACACCTTCCTCAAAGAACCCACTGATACACAGGCAATACTCTGGTGGCCAGGTATTGCTAAGGCGACTGAAGACGTTTTACAAGCTTGCACAGTATGCCAACAGGCTCGGCCAGAAATCATGGCTCCGTGAACATGAATTAATCTGGACCGTGCTGCCCTATAGAAGGGAAAATGGTGCTAACTGTGGTGGATAGTTAACTATCTGAAAAAGCCCTGCCCAGTAAGACCTCCTGTTTGCCTGGTGCATGATGAGAGAAATGAACTGTTTACACAGTTCATTTCTCAGAATGAAATCCGCCATCTAAGACACCTAAGGACTGCACCTCGCGTCCACAGTCGGACGAAGTCGCCGAGAGGGCAGTTAGTATCGTGGTACACTGTCTGCCACAGGAGGACAATCTGCAGCAGAGCTGATGATCAACTTTTGTCTCAAGTTTGTTGCAAGAACCTCATCAATCAGAAAAGCAAGGGTAGACGTAGAAAGAACCAGCAACCTCAAGGAAAGCAATCTTCTCTTTGCAAGTGTGGCGACGTCGGTGTAGTCGTAGCCACATGCCAAGGCGGTTTCTCAGACGAGAAGAAGCCGACACGAGATGGAAGCGGCAAGCACTATCGGGAATCAGATATCTCTCCCCGGCCTGCCTCCCTTTGAGAAACAAAGAGAGCCGCCAGGACGGAGAGACGCGTTGCGAGGAGGACCGGAAAGGAGGATATCGTCGGGGAAGAGAAAGAAGAAAGGGACCCCGACGAGTCGATCCCAGATGCTGTCCGTCCGGCACAGGTGTGGGGACCACGATCGGTCCTCCAGTTCAAGTTGCAAATAAAATATAGTTAGAATTTACAAGCACATTCTCCTAGTCCTTTCTCTCCGCTTTGGGACGACCTGAACTCTACAGTGGTGACCCGGTTTTGCAAAACAACCTTACGCAACAGCCTCAAGCCCCGTCATGCCGGACACTGACCCCACGCCATCCGGCAGCATCTCGGCAGTCGCCCTCAAGCTGCCTGCCTTCTGGCCCGCGGACCCGCAGTTGTGGTTCGTCCAGGTTGAGTCGCAATTTGCGACTCGTCGGATCACAGCGGACATGACAAAATTCCACCACGTCGTATCCAGCCTCTCCCCAGCCATCGCCACGGAGGTGCGAGACCTGCTGATCACACCGCCAGCAGAAGACGCCTACAACACACTAAAGGCACAGCTCATTCGCCGGACCAGCGCCTCGGAAGAAAAGCGTCTCCAGCAGTTGCTCACTGCCGAGGAACTGGGCGACCGGACGCCTACGCAGCTGCTGCGTCGAATGGAGCAGCTCCTCGGGGACAAGGCGTCTACCATCGACGCCTCGCTCCTCCGCGAGCTATTCCTGCAGCGGCTACCAAGCAACGTGAGGATGGTGCTCGCATCGGCAGGTGACATCGGCCTTGCCAATATTGCTGAGCTCGAGGACAAAATCATGGAGGTCGCGGCGCCATCACCCAACATCTCAGCAGTCCATGCCCGCGGCATTCCGGACGAGGTACGTGAACTTCGAGCTGAAGTCTCTCGCCTCGCTGACATGGTGGCGCAAATGCAACCTCTCCGCGGCCGCAGCACGTCACGCGGACGCCCTCGACGACAATCTCGCTCATCGTCCCGCGCGGACTCCGGCGACTGTTGGTACCATCAACGGTTTGGTGCTTCAGCTCGCAAGTACGAGCCTCCA